GCTTTGTTTTTATTTCTTTTTAAAATTGCTTCATTTGTAGACACATATCTCAGTGTGTCCTAAACAGTCACATCCTGGCTTTCTGGGAAAGGGCCAGCTCCTGGGTTCCAGGGTTTCTCACAGCTTCAATCCTTTTACTGTTCTTCATGAGAGTCCTTCTGTCATGTTTTCATGGGTTTCATACTTCCTGACTGAGAAGGCAAGAGTGTGAGATGAGCTATGTTGTGGTCACTCCAGGCCATCATGCTGGTTCTGGGCTGTGATACCCTGTGAAGGTGGGGCACACTTCCAGCGCTCTACTCTTTGAGTCTTGCAGTCTTCTTTCTTGGAGTCTTCCCTCTCCTCCCGCTGGCAAGCTGTTCCTCCTCTCACTGTGCTCGATCCTTCTCCCTCCATCTTCCAAAGCCTTCTGGCATGCACACAGAAACAATGAAAAACTGGCTCAGGTCTTCCAAGAGGAGGCTCATTAGCGGACTGATAAGGCATCTTCATCATTTTTGCCTTGAGGTTCCAATAATTGTTGTTAACAAAGTCTTAGGCTATGAAGAGAGGCAAATCCCTGGGAAGAGCTGAGGGACCTCTAGTGACTAGGGCAGCTGTGAAATGCGCACATTTTCTGAAAGGAAGGATGTTGGGGGAGAGTAGAGGGTTTGCACAGAGCCCTCGTCATTACCTGCCTCAGGTGGTACCACAGTCGCAGCCCTATAGGAGGGGCCCATTTCTACTCTGATGGGGTCCCTGAGTGAATGGTCCTCCAACTGGGATCTCATTTTCCTGAGGCACCTAAGCCTGCACTGTCCAGTGCAGGAGCCATTGGCCGTGTGGGGCATTAGAAAACTTTGTGTGTGACTAATGGGGCTGAAGAGCAGAATTTTCAATATTTAAGCATTTTAATTAATTTAATTTTAAAAACAAGTACAGCCTGCCAGCAGGGAGGAGAGAAAAAAACTATAAAAAGCAGACCCAAGGACTCAGAAAGTTATTAGAAAAGTTTTAAGTATGTTTGGAATAACTGGGGTATGTGAATTTACTTTTACAACTGTAAATTTTATGAGACCTAAATACTGATTAAATATTTCTGAGGAAAACCTAGCATCTGAATTGACACCTGCTGTAAGTGTAAAATATACACCAGGGTTCAAAGACATAGGATAAAAAAAGTTAAATATCCCATTAATAATTTTTTATATTCAATTGCACATTGAAACGATAATATTTGGGGTATATTGAGTTAAAGAAAATATATTATGAAAATTAATTTCACCTGCTTCTGTTCACTTTAAGAGTGGCTTCTCAAATTAAAAATTGTATTTGAGACTAGTATTATATTTCTGTTGGACAGTACTGTTCTAGAACTTTCTCTGCCCTTGTTTAGGTCTGAGGCTGTCACATAATTTGATGGAGTTCAGCCTCCCATTGAATTTGTCCTCAGAACTTTACATGTTTTCAGTCTTCCCAAGAATCCAATGAGATAGATACTATGATTTCCCACTTAAAAATATATAGAAACGGAATCTCAAGGTGATAAAGGAACTTGCTTAAGGTCACACAGCTAATATGGAGCAGAGTGGGGTCCCTAGAACCAGAGAGGCCTCGATTAAAGGCACCCTGATAATCACTATACCACATTGGCCCCACTCCAACCCTGTGATTTCAATGCCCAGCTTGCGGCAGTGTGTCCTGGAGCAAGGTCAGCAAATGACCACCAGGATTATAAGAGTCTTTGGGGGGGGTCATGCTTTTGGGGGGACTCTCATGGGAGAGGAGGTGAGCCCTGGGTTGTACCTGGGGAGCATTGCCACCCTGATCTGAGGGGTGAGAGGGATCTGAAGGCATAGTCTGAAACTCCAGCAGCTGAACTGAAGCCCACATCCCAGCCACAGTCTTGTCCCATTCTGTGGCAGAGTGTTTTCAGCAACATCATGAGGTGGCAGGGCCAACACAATGGTCATCTCCATCTCGCAGGTGAGCAAACTCAGCCTGATGTGGGCGAAATGACTTCCTCGAGATCACCGTCAGAACTGGGCCTAGAGCCAAGAGTTCTTTCTGGTTCCAAATTTAGAGTATTTTCCACTAAGAAAGTGGGAGAGACTGGATTGCTCAGGGTGGGAGAGGATGCAGGAGGTGAGCGGGCCACCTGCAGACCCAGGCTTGGCTCTCGCAGTACCATCCCTGGGGCTCGAGACCTGTTTCCTGGAGGTCCCTGATGTTCTTTGGCTGCATGAGAACAGACAGCCATTGGGTAGGACTTTGTGCAAGAAAGCAAGTCCTGGCCTTGCCTGGATCTTGTCTCTAGGCTCACTTAGCTTTTGGAGTTCTGGGTTCTGTCCTGATGTTTCTATTTATTACCTATGTGATCTGGGGCATGTTGCTTCATCCCACTGAACTTCAGGTTCCTTACCTGTAAAACGGGACTTTACCTTGCAGGGGGAGGATTAGCAGAGATGTTGGGAAATGCCTGGCACGTGGGTGCAGTGAACACTGGGGTTCAGTCACCTGTGGTTCTCTGGGACCCTCCCTGTCTCTTCATGGGAAAGACAGGAGGCCCAGGGAAAAAGCTGCAGTCTGAGGGTCGCAAGCCTGGAAGGCAGGAAACAGGACTGCAGAAGTCTCTCCAGCTGGAAATTGCATGTCCAGTCTAGGTGCTTTAGTTTCTCACCATAAAAATCTGGTAGCACTGCTAGTAAGCTTGGAAAGAATTCTTCTTCTTGTTCAGTCACCATGTCATGCCCAACTCTTTGTGACCCCATGGACTGCAGCACTCCAGGCTCCCCTGTCCTTCACTGTCTCCCAGCATTTGCTCAAACTCATGTCCTTTGAGTCAGTGATGCTATCTAACCATCTCATCCTCTGCCACCCTCTTTCCCTTTTGCCTTCAATATTCCCCAGCATCAGGGTCTTTTCCAATAAGTTGATTCTTCACATCACGTGGCTGAAGTATTGGAGCTTCAGCATCAGTCCTTCCAGTGAGTATTCAGGACTGATTTCCTTTAGGATTGACTAGTTTGATCTCCTTGCTGTCCAAGGGATTCTCAAGAGTCTTCTGCAGCCCCACAGTTCGAAAGCATCAATTCTTTGGTGCTCAGCCTTCCTTATGGTCCAACTCTCACATCCACACATGACTGCTGGAAAAATCACAGCTTTGACTATATGGACTTTTGTCAACAAAGTGATTTCTCTGCTTTTTAATATGCTGAGCAGGTTGGTCATAGTTTTTCTTCCAAGGAGCAAGCATCTTTTAATTTCATGGGTATAGTCACAACTGGCAGTGATTTTGGAGCCCCAGAAAATCTGTCACTGCTTCCATATTTTCCCCATCTATTTGCCATGAAGTGATGAGTCTGAATGCCATGATCTTACATTTTTGAATGCTGAATTTTAACCCAATAGTGGAAGGGATTGCTGTACTTAGTCGCTCAGTCATGTCCAACTCTTTGCGGCCCTATGGACTTTAGCCTGCCAGGCTCCTCTGTCCATAGGGATTCTCCAGGCAAGAATAGTGGGATGGGTTTCCATGCCCTCCTCTAGGGAATCTTCCCAACCCAGGAATTGAATCCAGGTCTCCCGCATTGCAGGCAGATTCTTTACCATCTGAGCCACCAGGGAAGTGATGCTATCTAACACCAGAGGTAAAGAACCCACCTGCTAATGCAGGAGACTTAAGAGACGTGGGTTCAATCCCTGGGTTGGAAAGATCCCCTGGAGAAGGAAACGGCAACCCACTCCAGTATTCTTGCCTCGAGAATTCCATGGACAGAGGATACTGATGGGCTATAGTCCACAGAAAAAGAAATGGCAGCCTACTCCAGTGTTCTTGCCTGGAGAATCCCAGGGACGGCGGAGCCTGGTGGGCTGCCGCCTATGGGTTCACACAGAGTCGGACACGACTGAAGTGACTTAGCAGCAGCAGCAGCAGCAGCAGCAGCATAGTCCATGGGCTCCCAAAGAGTTGGATTCAACTGAGGCGAGTTAGCACGCATGCACATAGACCCCCAAGGGAAAAATGGGTGTGGTGTCATGCAAAATAAGTTTTTCAAGGACTTGGCTTGCTGTACCAAATAATTTTCTTGAAAGTATTGGTCAAGCAGGGGCCATAGGGTGGATTGCTTTCCTCCCCCCACCCCCAAGGCAACCTAGTTTCCTAGAAGAGATGACAAATTCTGGATTGTATAACACTCTCTGTCCAGGAAGCATCTTTGGAGAGCTCCATGACTATAGCCAACTTGCCTTCGAGGTAGAGGACCTGGCCAGTCCTGCCAGAGGAGCCCAAGCCTGCCCCCTGGAACTCCCAGCCAACCTTGCGGGGAGAGGCGAGGATGCTGACCCTTGCTTGTTCCCAGCTGGTGCGGAGCACAGCAGTGTAGAGCCCAGGCCTCCCTCCTCCTGCCTTTCTCCATGGTCGCTGGCTGTCTGAAGACCCTTCCTGGCAGAAACCAGCAGTCTGCTTGGGCGGAAGGTGTATCTAGCCCCGTTTGTGTCCCCCCTCCCCTACCCTAGACGATGGCCGCTGCCTCTGTGTCAAATTCAGACCCATCTTGAGAGGGAATCTGCACCCAGCAACCGGGCAGTAAGGCCCCTTCTCCTTCTGTCCCAGGGCCCAGTTGAGGAGGAGGGTGGGCAGACTGAGGACCGAAGGTGCTGGGACCCTGGCGCCTTTAAGAAGCTTCCTCCCTGGCTGGCCTGGAGCTTGGTGAGCCCAGGCACTCTGCTGATGGTCACTGGGTGATAAGCGGTAAAGCCTGGCTCCTTTCGCCTTTGAACTGAGCGCCGTCTTTCTTCCGCCTGGGAGCCGTTTTGAACTGCCAGTTCCTGGGGATTAGATGCATGTTTAGGCTGGATGAACTCATGAATGAAAATATTTTGCTTCGTGGTTTCGACAACAGAGACCTGCACGGTGGGCCCCCCTTTTCTCTCTCCCTCGCCTAGCACCACCCACACAGGCCCACCCTAATAGCGGGGGCCCAGGCTCTCCCAGCAGCACCCGAGCTGCTCCGTGATAGTTTGGACAGGACCAGTGTGCTGTGATGCAACCAGACCACGGGCAGCCTCTGGGCCAGGTGAGCACTTTCTCAATCATTTTCCCCTTGATCCGCGATAGCAAGATGGCCGAGAGGCAGCCCCAGGCTCTTCCACTTACGAGTAAGGGCAAGGTGAGGAGGGAGGAACTGGCCCTGGGTTCGCGCGCTTCACCTCGCTTTGATTCCACTGCCATGGGCTCCTTGAGCTTTGGGGTGTGGGTAGTATGGTTGGCAATCTGAGTCCTGCCATCTTGGAGATGTGGGGGTCATGGAAGAGACAGTTCAAATCTCTGCTCGGACTCTTCTTAGTTGTGTGAGCCTGAGAAAGTCATGGCGTTGCCTCACATCCCCAGTTTATGGGTGAAGACACTGGGATTCCCACATCTCCCTGCTGATCTGCTCTGAGGGTTGTTCATGTGTGAGGTGCCAACCATTGTGCCTGGCATGGAGTCAGCATTGCATCACTGTCCATTCCCTCCCTGTTGCTGGGTTTGGCTGGGCTAGCAGCCTGGGCCAACACCCACTCCATGTCTCCTGTGCCCTACTTTCAGAGAATGAGGAAGACCCAAGGGAGGTGCTTACAGGGCCCCAGTGTGACGAATGAAGTCATCAGCTCCCAAGTGAATTAATGCTGCAATTAATAGATTGATGCTGCTGCTGGCTGGGTTACACCCTGGGCTGGTTCCACCATATATGTCATCTTTGTTGTCACAGATGACTCTGGTGGATACTGAGACAAGCACCCACCGTCCAGAGGGCAGGTGTCTGTCATCCCCTCTTGCATGGAGTTGCTGGGCACTTCCTGTAAGGGGCATAGGCTGCTGGCCATTAGGTATCCGTACTGGGATGTGATGCTTTCTGTTGTTGTTCAGTCACTAAGTCATGCCTGACTTTCTGCGACTCCATGGACTGTAGTCCGCTAAACTCCTTTGTCCATGCGATTTTCCAGGCGAGAATACTGGAGTGGGTTGTCATTTCCTACTCCAGGATATCTCTGCAACCCAGAGATCGAACCCATGTCTCCCACATCGCTTGCACTGGCAGGTGGATTGTTTACCGCTGAGCCGCCGGGGAAGCGTAACAACATTTGGGGTATAATGTTTTCTGTTACTTAGTGAACAGATTCAGTTGAGGATCAAAACAAGCCTTGGGCTGGTCGCTGGTGACCTGGCTTGTCTGGGTGGGAGGCAAGCCTGGTGCCACCTCGTGTGTGTATGTGTTGTGGGGCAGAAGATATTATTGGGCTTTCCCGTCTTAACTCCTGATCAGCAGCTCTATCACTGAATAATGGATAGTGTTATTCTACATAAGTCCTATAGGCTACATTTAGAAAAACTAGAGTTAACATTTTGGAGTCTTCTCGTCTTTTCTTTTGTTCCCTCTGTATATGTTTTTCTCCACTTATGAAACAGTATGGTCCATTTTTGTAACTTGTTCTCACTTACCAATCTATCATAGTGTGTACTGCTGTGTGTATACTTCAGTATATCATGATAGCCTTTTACATTCTACACCATCATTTGTGAGGAGGGCCTGTGGTACAAATGTACTCCAGTTTTCAAAACCACCGTCTCATGTGGTTGTATAGGTGTCAGCCATCACTAACCACACTGTGATGAAGCTCCTTATGTTAATATGAGCTTCCCTCAGACAGCTGTTTCCCTAAGAATAAATGCTTAGAAATTTAATTTCTCAAAAAGATATCTGAGGTATCTGTTTTTCAGGCTTTTGCTACCTTTTGCTAAGTTGCCTTCCAAAAAGTTAGGACTAATTTACCTTCCTCCCAGTAGCAAGAGTGTTTGCTTCCCTTTATTCTCTCCGATACCAGGTATCAAATATTTAAATCTCTCTTCTGCTCTGCTAGAGGAAAATAAATGAGTATCTTATTCTTTTAACTTGCACATGCAGCGTGCGGAGGCCCATGCTGAGTTTTTACTGCTGTGTACAGTACGGTGTGTGCGAGGCCCAGGCAGGCCCCAGAGAAGCAGGAGATGGTGGGCCTTGTGCTGCGGGGGCTGACAGTCACGTCCAGAGGTCAGGAAATGGTGTCTGTGAGGTTGTTCCTTCAGCTGGTGTTTATCAAGCGCAGACTGTGAGCAGAAGCGCCAAGAGCTGTGGGAACACGGAGGAGGGCAGCATTAGAGAAGGAGATTGCATCCAGGCTGAGGCCTGAAGGAGAAGCCGGGATTCGGCAGGGGAGGCGGGGAGAGAGGTTGCAAGCGCCTGCAGTGTGGATGGGGGTGTGGGTAGGTGTCAGACGGGGGCTGATGGGTGACCTCTAGTAGTGCTGGAGTGTTTTTCAGGGAGGCCAGGCCTGTGGCAGATGCACAGGTGTGGGGCTCCCCTGCATAGTGGTGTAGAAGATGGGGTGTGGGGCACCTCATGGCCCCCCTCCCTACTCTGAGACATCCCTTCTGGATCTGCTCTGGGATGAGTCTCTCGAAAGGCTGAAAAGAACCTTTCTCTGGATTCAGAAGCTGTGCTCTGCACTGTCCTTCCTGGGCAGAGGCTGGAGGGTTCTGGGTGAGAGGGAGTCAGAGGTGCCCTTAATATGCAGACCTCAGCTCGAGGAGGAGGCAGGCCCCTGCCCAGCTCTGCTTATTTCGCTCTCACCAGCCTGCTTCCTGATTGCCAGCTTCCCTCACGTCCCTCCCTGCTGCCTCTGGAAGGACGGCCTGACTTCTCACCAGGGCACTTGGGCCCTTTGAGGTGGGCCTGCGCGCTGGGCATCTCGGCCTGCTTGTTCCCTTCGTGGCCGGGTCCACGGTACTGCGTCTTCTCCAGTGGCAACCTATGCATTCTCATTTTACGTCTTTGCTTTCTCTGCCAGATCTCCATCTTAAGACTTGCTCATGATTGCAGGTGGACAGAGATCACCTCCTCCCAGAAGCCCACCTAGCACTCTAGCCCTCTTGGGCAGGGCACAGTTCTCCTTGCTTAGGGAAGGGGGGCTGCTTAGAGGGAGTGGTTTCATAAGACAGCATTTCTCTAAGAACCAGAGCAGGAGTTGCTCTGGCACCTCCCTCCTTCTGCTGTCCTGAGTAAAGTGTTAATGAGAGATGAGCAGAGGCTGTGTGACGTGGGTGGTGGGTTGGAGGTCAGGCTCAGGAAACAGCAGATCTGGAGGGGGACCTGGCTCCGGCTCTCAGTTGCTGTGTAACCTCAGGCAAATAACTTAACCTTTGTGAACCTTGGTTTCTTCTTCTGATGGATGGAGAATATGCCTCAGAGATGTTGTGCACATTAACAAGATAATGGGTGTATAACCCTCATAGCCCCAGGGCCTCTGCAAGATCTGGCACCCAGAAGTAATTAGAAAGCTGTCTCTTTATTGTCTTTTGAAGGAAAGCTGAACAGTGGGGGTCCCTGTCTTGTGCCCCAGAGGCACACTTGAGCCCGCGTGCCCAGCAGCACTTCCCTGTCTAACTAGCTTTCCTTTCCTCTGTGCTCCCCATGCCCCAACTCTTGGTGATGTAGATGCACCCACCCTCCAACAAAGCCTTTCTCCAGTTTTGTCCTTCCTCTGCCCTGCCTACCATCTCCTGACCCTACATCACACAAGAGGCAGGGGCAGCTGGCAGACACAGGAGTCCCTTAGAAGGGGCACAGGGAGGGAGAGATACTTACCTGTGGATGGATGAGCTGTCTTAGATGCACGAGCTCTTGGTCTACTGTTAATGCTCCGTTGGTATGAGGCTCACAGTTCAATTCAGGAAATGTTGATGGAGGACCTATTAGACACCTGGCACCAAGTTAGATTTCATCCTCCAAAAAACTCTGCAAAGTAGGCAGTGTGAGCACCATGTGACAGGTGAGAAAACTGAAGCTCAGAGTGCCCGCATCACTGTGAGTTGTACAATTTGTCACCCCCACTGGTGGTTAAGTGTTAGGAGGGGTGCCAGGCTGTGTGGGGAGCTCTGCAGGGTGAGGGAGCCCCTCAGAGTCCTACCATTACTCCCGGGCCTGGCAGGGGGACCATTTGGATGGGCAGAGAACAGGCTAGAGGCAGGTGATGGACAGAGCCTAGATGTGCAGGATTAAATATTTACATTAGGTAAAGATGAGAGTTAAGTGCCTCAGAGGCAGACAAGGGAGAGTGGAGGGAATTGCTGCTGGGGCAGCCCCAAAGAGCTCCTAGAGAGCTGCAGGAGAGGGGACCATCTCTGCGGGCTCAGCAGAACCGTGAGGGGCTGGGGCCAGAGCAGGAGTCAGGGGCTGCATCTCCTGCGAGCTGTGTGAGATTGTGTGGTGGCCCAGGAATGTGGGAGCCACATATTTTTGTGTAATTAGGTCGGCTCCTCTGCAGCGACTGCAATTAGCTGCAAGCAGGAGACAGGACTTCCTGCAGCCAAGGTCACTTCTGCACCTGGGGCGGCTTACCTGGGCTCCTGCTGTCTGGGCTCGGGTCCCGTGGAGTTTCCGGCAGGGGCAGCCAAGAGGCAGGTGGGGCTATTGGGACTGCAGGGTCACAGCTCCCACCTCACAGCAGGAGGAGAGAATTGTCCTGGCCCTCCTCCTGCCACTCAGCCCTTTTTATATCTTCTCTGATGCTCAGCTGAAGAAGAGTCTGTTGTTCCCTCTCTACCTCTTAGCGGGCTATTTCTGAGCCTTTCTCACTGTTGCTGCCTGTGAGAAGCACTGTCGGTATCCTGGAGGTAATCAGCACCCCTGACTAGTCAGTGAATGCCTTGTATGCCTCCTTCCATGGGGAGCTCAGTAGCAGGAATATTCTGAGACTCTGGTTTTTCCCTTTGAGGAGCCCAACCTATCCTGCTTTAATGAAAAATGTAAAGAATGGGATGATCCTTGCAGCTACTTTGTTTCTTTTTACAGTCCAGGGAGTATTATTTACTCATCTAATTTTATCTGTAGCAGTAATAATTACTATCTTTGTGCCCCTTACCAGCCCTGCCTGTTTGTCTCTTAGAATTGTGACATAGTAGATGTGAAAGCTTGAAAGCATAAGGGTCATTATTCCCTTTTCTTTATAGATGGGAAAAACCAGAGGTTGAAGTGAGTTGTTTGCTCAGGGTCACTTAGGGCGGCTGACAGTGGCCTTGGGCCACATGGGTGCCAGGCAGCACCATCCTCAGGCTTTCACATCCCAGCTGGGATGAGTGCTGTGGCTAAGATGGGACATTCAGTCCGGGCCTCTGGGCTCTCCCACCATGCCAGGCTGGGCTGGAGAGGGCGAGCTGCCTGTCCATCACACAAGGTTGAGGAAGTCAGTAACATGATGTGATGTGATACACATGAACAGAGAGGAGGCCCTGCCCTGCAGTGGCCTAGGGCGTGGTGGTGGCAGACTTAGGGCATAGCTTGGGGACACTCTGGCTGCCCTCTCAGGCCACTGTCTCAAGGCTGGGCTGTGAGTCCCTGGTTCCTTTATTCAGCACTGTGTACCCCAGAGCTGGAGAATGGTCTCTGAATCCTTGGAGCTTGGCTTTTCCAGCTGTCCCCTTGAGGAGGGGACACTGCGTGCGCTGACCACTTGCTATGGAGTGCAAGTGAGCTCAGGCAGGGCGCCTGAGGTCACCTGTGTTCACAGGGCACAAGAGGGTACTATGTGATGCCCTCTTGTATCCCTCTCTTCTTTATATACCCTCAGACGAGGTAAAAGTAAAAGTAGTAAAGTCACTCAGTCGTGCCCGATTCTTTGCGACTCCATGGACTGTAGCCTACCAGGCTCCTCCCATGGGATTTTCCAGGCAAGAGTACTGGAGTGGGTTGCCTACTATGTGGTAAATGTGAAGTCAGTAATGTGTGCCTGCCTCCCTGTAAACATTCAGTTGCTGTTAGTGGCCATTATTACAGTTTTAAACAGTATTATTAAGGACACGGACAAGGTTCTATGAGGTAACAGGCCTGCCCTGGTCTGGGGAGGCGGTGCTGCAGGAAGAGTAGCTGACATCAGCTGTTGGCTCTGCATCTCTTTAATCTCGCCTCCTCTGATAGGCCCCGGCACCTTCAGTAGGAAGGAAACTCCAGTTGTTCTCATTATTTCTGAGTGGTTGTGTTCTAGAAAGTCACCATGACACAGAAAGAGGAAATACTGAACTGTGCTTTTAAGGGAGGTACAGAGTTTGGCTCCTGCAAACCTCAGTCACAACACACTCGTCAACTGAGCGATACCTAATCTTGTCCTATGTAAGTTTCTGTGTAAAGACACCTTCTGTAATATATGCATATTTAATTGATGAGCACTAAACTCAATAGTAGGGTTTCTCTGGTGGCTCAGTCAGTAAATAATCTGCCTGCAATGCAGGAGACTGGAGTTCGATCCCTGGTGGGGACAATCCCCTGGAGAAGGAAACGGCAACCCACTCCAGTATTCCTTCCTGGAAAATCCCATGGACAGAGGAGCCTGATGGGCTACAGTCCATGGGATCGCAAGAGGTGCAGATGACTTAGTGACTAAACCACCACCACCAAACTCAGTAGCACACTCACGCCTGAACAAAGCTTATTTAGTACAGGGATGGTCTCTATAAAGCGTACCGCAGTATTCTTGCCCTTAGGTGTGCTGGGTGGCACGTCCGCATGGCGCCTGGGGGCCGTTTTCAGTGGTAAAATCACCAACAAAGAGCACAAAGATGTGGCCAACGAGGCACTATGTTGACTGTGGAAAGGAGGCATGTCTGAGTGTAAGAGCTGAAACAACCAGGCGGAGTGTCACCATGTCCCGCCTCACCCGGGACGGTGCAAGTCCGGGAATGCACAAATTTCACCGTCTCCACATGTCTACATGTGCTCATGCCAGTCCCGCAGGTCTTGATTCAGGGAGGTTATTAATCAGTTTCAGCGAATAGGTAAATGGTATAGATGGAGTCTGTAAATAGTGAGCATTAGCTGTGTATGGCAGCGAACCCACACCTCTGGCCCAGCCCAGCTGACAGCGATTGCTGAAGGATGAGCCACAGGCAACTCAGATGACCCTGGGGCCAGCTGCCAGCCCGGCCCGAGCACAGGAAGGCCACGGGCTTTCAGGTCCCCGGCCAGGCTCTTAGGTCCCCGGCGGGGCTGTGGTTGAGCTGGAGCACTTCGTCCCAGGCGCCCTGATGGGTTCTCCATGCACAGCACTTGAGCTGTTTACGGCAGTGGGTGGGAGGGATGTGTTTATTTGTACTCTTTGGCCATATTTTGAACACATAAATGAAAAGAAACTAATCTTTGCAGGATTTTCACTTTGTACCCCCTTCTGCATCCTGCGTCTATTGGTTCCACAGAGCACTGGCAGAGGAGAGAACATTTGTTGGAAGTAGTCATATGTTAGGAACCCAAGCATCTGTGCAGATGGGAAGGAGGATGGGGAGATTATGGATTCCCCAGTAGAGATCCCCCCAGGCCTGGCTCAAGGTGTGTGTGTGTGTGGGGGGGTGGTGGGAGTGGAGAGGAGGGCTGGGAAGGAGGACGACAGTCTCCCTAACCCTCCCCACCTCCCTAGACTTACCTGAACCCTGTTAGTCCCCTGGAGGCTGAGATTGAGACCTTAGAGGGTCCCTAGGCTCTCATCACCTCAAGTTGCAGGTGGTAAGTGAGGCCTCAGAGGGGCTGTGCTGTGCTTTCCCCATCACCACAAAGCAGAGCTGGTCCTGGACCAGGCCTCCAGCCTCTCAGACTCGCATGCCCTCCACGTTAGCATGTGACAGCGCTGTTCCTTCTCACCGAGCCTCTTGGCGTGTTGCAGAAGGGCAAGTTTCCTTCTTTTGTTAAGGACCTGCCCTCAGCTCTTTGGAGAGGTTAGGAAGTTGGGCTTTGGAGTCAGGTTGCCCACAGTAGAATCTTGGCTTAGTCACGTATTGGCTGGGCAAGCTGGGGCAAGTAACTTCACCTCTCTGTGCCTCAGTTTGTTCTTTTCAAAATGGGGATTGACAGTACGTGTTCCTCAAGGTTGCACTGCATATTTAATCAGTTAATATTTATAACACATCTAGAACAGCAGCTGGCACAAAGAAAGAGCTCTGTGTTTGTTAAATAGAGTAAAATTTATAGAATTACTGTGTGATCTTGGGCAGATCGCCCTTCTTGTGCCATATATTTTTTTGTCATTTACAAAACAGGGGTAGATAACAAAACCTACCACAGAGGGCTGTTGTAATCACTTGGTGTGATGAATAGTGAGTTTACAATGCTTAGTGCAGGGTAAGCTTTTAAAAACAGGCTAGATTTTATTACTGGCATTTTTATGCTCTGGTAGCCTTCTCCCTACTCCACTGGCCCTCTCCTGCCCTGAATTCGGATGAGGAGAGGGGAGGAGAGCAAACACAGAAGATGGGCCAGGGGAAGGGAGATGCCAGGCTGCTGAGATCTGCCTGCACAGGAGCCCAGAGGCGCCTCTGGGCTTCCCCTCGGCAGAGCCCCTGTGACTAACTGGGTGGAAGGTCCCGGAAGTGAGTGGGGAGCTGTTCTCTGAGCCCCACCCTGCAGGGCCTGCCTGTCCCACCTCAGGGAGTCTGAGGACCTGCACTGGTCACCGGGGGTTCCTTCACCGGGTCTCCTGCCCGGGGCTGATGTCTCGAGGCGGCCCTTCCACCTGCCCAGGCATCTGGGCACATGTGTAGCCAAGGGCCCTGCCGGCAGTGGGTATGCCATTCAGGGGGCGCGGGTGCCTGCAGAAAACTCCCTTCTGCAGTTTCTCTGGAGGGCTCGGGATAAACTTCACAGGAAGCGTCAGCACAATTTTCTAATCAAGTTGAAGTCCGTGGCCCGTAGTTAGAAACAATAAATGAAACGCAATTTGAGCCGGCACTTTGCCTGAGTCTCCGTTTCTGGAAGTGGGTGTGAGTGAGAAGCTGGTCTTTCTGAGGGAAGAACTTGACCCCTGACCCTGACCATTTAGCCCCCAGCCCTACCATCAGCTCGCAGGGGCGGGACCCTCGGACTTTATTGTAGGTAATCATTCCAAAATCTTGATTTTGATCTGTCAGGTCAAAGTCCACACTTCTCTGTAAGTCAGTGCTCACTATTCAGCAGACTCTTTGTTTCTCCTTTTCCAAGCTCCTTCCACCTACCATGCTAGAGTTTGGTCTCAGAGATCATTGTTTAATCAATATTAAACCATTCACATAGTTTAAGTGTTTACTTATGTGCTTTGAATCATAGTTTGCAGTAAGAACAAGTGATGCCCCCCTAATCTGCCTTCACTACACTCCCCAATACCCTAATTATGTAATTTAGAAAAGAACATTTCCTGACAGCAGTTTCTCAGTGCGCGGCAACAAATGCCGACTGGGGACAGGACCAAACAACCTGGTAATAGCTAGCACATGGAGAGCGCTGCCTCGGTCCAGGCAGCTTTGGCTTGGGGCAGACGCCCGTCCGTTTGGGTTAAGGCTTTCAAATGACGGCGTATTAGTGCCAGTAGAAGTAATTCCACATGAAAAGAGCTGAGCTAATAGCCCATCTCCAGTCTCTTTTAGTTTGCAGAATAGGCCCTCACTGCAAATTGTTACTGACTCAGACAGTCAGGAACAGATATCTCACCCAGCCTATGAGACTGACGCGGCCAAAGACGTGTCCAAGAGGCCAAAGTTTAGACCAAACCTGCTCTTCATGAACTTGCCAATCCTCCACATCTATGGTCTAGAGGCTGGGCTTGAATGTTGCTCATTGTTTTTGAGGGGAGTTTGGAGACTGGCCTATTGAATCAAGCTAAGTGGGTGTTTGAGGGGCTATGGGTGTCAGGTTGGGAGGTGGGAAGGTTCCATGGTTTCAAGTACACCTACACTTCAGCATCATCTGGTCACTGTGGCAATTTTGGGTAGGAGAGGCCCTTAATGCTTTTCTCCTCCCGTCTGCCAGTGTCCACCACTAGCATCTCCCGTCCACTGACCCTTGTGAGCAGAACCCAGCTCACCCTTGTCTGGCTTTGTGAGACCTCAGTGCTTACTGATTCAGCTGCTTCCATACCAGGAATGGAAAACTACCCTTCCTGCTTCCCCGTCCCCTCATGGATTCCTCGGTCCGACAAATATTCCGTTGCTATGGAAACTCAGTGGACACCTTTGGGGGCTCACCTGTCTCAGCGTTTGGGGCCTTGGTGTGCAGCCACGCCTTGGGCGGAAGCCAGCAGCTGTGGGCCTGCTTGGTTCTGTAGTCATCCAGCCGCTCCGGGCTCCGCTCTGGACGGTCCCAGAGGAGGGGTCGGGGACGAGGGAGAAGCACACTGAACTGCGGAAATCTTCATTTGGCTGTGAGTCCCAAACCGATGCGTTAGCCTTTCTAGAAGCACTGGTTGCCATGGTGACAGAAGCGGTGCCAATTGCAGGAGTTGTTTTTGTGGTTAGGGTGCCTGTCTTAGACAAAGAGAGTGAGGCCAAGCCGACAGCCGCCATCCTCCCACTCTTCCAAGGGTTGGATATTGTCAACTCTGGCCTCAGAAGGTGGGGGTGACGGCCTCCCACAGTGGCCCTTTAGTCCTTGAAGTTATTCTGGGGGTCCAATGGCTTCAGCCAGAATGGAGTCGATCACCTAGCCCTCCGAGAGAGACCCCACAGGTGGGCTCACCAGTGGAGAAGGGGCCACTCAGTTATGGCAGAAATCAAGAGTTCAGCAATCTCTCGGGACAGACTCACCATAGAGCGTTCTTTATGGAATCTTCTGCCACCCAGAGCCTGGCCACGAGCCTGCGTGTAGGGCCTGCTTCTTTAGGCCACATTTTGTCTTGGGCCTCAGATATTAGCTCCCCTGAAAAATTTCCTAAGTGACGGAATGGAGGCCATTTCTTTAGTAGGGGTGCTTGTGTAGCTCGTTAATTCTCAAAGTGTTTTACAAATATTTATCCACCTTAGGTCATTTGCAAACCTAACCCCTGTCATCCCACCTCAAGGTTGTCCCCTCCACCCCGATTGCCCAAAATGAAGTCAGAAGCCTTGGACTGGGAATTCCACATTGGCGGATTTTGAAAAGCTGGCCTGAACGGTTTGTTTATTTCTCTAGTCTGCCCTTCTTAGAGTCCCAGAATGTGTCAGGACTTCCCAGGCCAGACATGCAAAGCCCTTTGCCCTCCCTGCCAGAGGTGAGAGTATTTTATTTATGAATTCATCTTAAATCACTTTTAAAAATCACTTTTAATCAAATTAATAGTCTTTCTCTGAGATTATGTCAAAGCATCAAAAATAAAGAGGGCTTTAGATGGGAGTGAGGTATTTTAGGACAGGTCACCAATTCCCTCCCTTGCTTTCCCTGCAGGCACAGGCAAATAGAGAAAGCCTAGTTTGTTTTGCTCTTGGAGATACCTGAGGTCTATTTCCTTGTAAAGAGGAAGCCCCCCGCCCCGGGATTTGGAGGCCTGGGTCATTCCCAGGGGCAGTTGCATGCTGAATGTCAGTGATGTTTCCCCCAAGACCCACCCAGATGATTCCTGGGTTCCTGCCCCTCCCCACCTTCCCAGCAACCCACCGCCCTGAGTTTCATCAGGGTTACTGGCCTCAAAGTGACCAAACCTGAATTTGCCTCAGCCCCTAGTCTCAGAAGTTGTGACTAATGAAGACTGACCCCTGGTGAATTTTCAGAAGCCACGACTTGCCTGCACTGTTCTGCCGATAAGATAGGCTTTTGTGTCGAGTGGGCAGGCGGGGTAGCAGCTTCTATAGGGTCCATATCAAGGTGTTACTAATCCTTGGCTGGCTAATGTTTGCCAAATAAATAGCCTCATTAGGAAGGGCTATAAAACTCCGATAAGATTCTTCTAATTATCCCCCAAAGCACAAATACTTGGGGTTTCAGTTTAGCAGAAAAGAGACATCGAAAAGAGGGGAGAACGTGCGAGTGTGAATATTTAACAATGGCTTTCCCTCCTCCTCAGCCCTAACGCGGGCACATCTACCATTTCATATTTTGTTTTTGCAAAAGCAACAAATTGCTGAACAGGAGGAAAAAAAAGACAATGACATATTTTAGGTTACTATTTCACCTTTGCAAATCAATATACAAGCCATTAAAACTACATTTTTCCATGAATGATAAGTGTAATTACCTCTCTCTTGCCGTAAAAACTTGTCCTTATTAAATGTAAATATTTAAAAATGATTGAAATATATTTGAAGGGCACTTTATAGCTTGATTTTATATGCTGACATCTGGGTTGCCTTTCCTAAAACACTCTATTTCTTGGAGAGTTATTAAATTAGTATTTTGAAAGGACTAACACTAGACTTGTTCCTTGTTTCAATTTTAATTTCGTACATATTTAGATTTACTGGGAACTCAGAGAAGGCTTACATTTAGCTAGTACATCGTTATGTTTGTGGGATTTGTACACGTAGAAGTCATGATATTATTTGCAGAGGGTATCTTTACACAGTGGGAAACTCCATCTCTACCCCTGCAAAGTATAAGAATAGAGGAATCAAGATTCTAAGATTTCTGGCTATAAATGCTTAATTTTCCAATTCTTCTGAGCAGGAAGATTGCTTTAAATATTTACTTTACTTTTAATTGTGCATCATTTCAGATAGCAAATTACCCGATCTATTTTTTTTTATAGATCTGTCAGAGATTATTTAGTTGAACGCCAAGAAAGATACGCAGTATGATTATTTTATTTTTTATTTTCCTAGCTCCACTCTTAGGAAGAGATTTTCTTTTTCTTTACAAATTCTCATTTTTAGTTGTCTCATTTTTGGAAAGGTGAGATGATTCAGTTCTGTGCTTGAGAAGTTTCAGAGAACGATAGAAAATCTAATATTTGAAAACACAAGCTTCACTAACATACTTAATTCCAGATGGCAAAAAGACCATGCCCAAAAATGTGAAAGAATTCAACATTTGGTGGCTCAAATATTTTTTCATGATAAACAAATATTTCTGGGGTAGATGTATTCCTGAGCTCTGCATAGGAAAGCAACCATCCATGCAAGCCGCGCTGGGCTGCCCTTCAAACTCTTTGGTCTTTTCCTTTCACTATGTTAAATCCTTGAGATATGTAAAGATGTTATGATAGGCAGCGGGTCAAGTAATCTGCACATGTAGCTTTTTATAAATTTTTCTTTGCAAAGGAAAATTTTTCTTCAAATAAATCCCCCCCAAATAAATGGTTTGTAAAAACAAAAGTCTATTTGTTTTGAAATTGCACAGAAGAAACCATGTTATAACAATATCTCTTTTTTGAGTTCCGCCTGAGAAAAGAAATTTACCTATAGTCAGCGATTTCCCTCATGATAAGCCTTTAAAAAATAAAGTTGTCTCTTGGGAGAAAATAAACATTAGCGAAGTGGAGGTATTTGTAACGAGGTGGCCTTTATTCACTTGTTCAATGGAACTGTTCAACCTTTGTTTTTCTATCCACCCCCCCAACACTGTGTCTTTTTATTTCTTTATAGTTCTGTTCATGTAAATTCCTGAACCATAAGCCTTTTAGAAATTTGTTGCTTTTAATTACATAGGTGCTTCTTTAGTGAGCAAATGTGCTGTTTTCTCCCCATGTGGAATAGAAATTTTAGATAAAATTTGAAATTTTTTTTTGCTGAAGTGTTTGGCAAATATCTGGGGTTTGAGGGTATTTTCACGGTGCCCCCGAAGGTGAGCAATCGAATAGGGAACATGGCAGCGTTCACCAGGCAGTGACTTGGGAATTTTTCAGGAGGCATTATTTTCTTACGTTAATGCCTTTGTAGATTCCATCGACGTTCAGACATCAAAGAGCATGCAATTAATAATGGGCATCTGGAGGACTGATCACATGCTTCCGATGTTAAAGTGGTGAACGACAGGAAAATCAGCCGTGGTCAGGTATTAGCTGTAATCATTTCTAAACAACAGCAACGAAGCCTTCTCTTTTGTGCCTCTGCTCTCAGAAACGCAAAAGTTCACGTACAAAAGGTTCCCATAGATGCTTTCCTTCTGGTGGATGAGTGAGTAATAAATGATTTGTAGACCTACATGGTCAGTGTTGAGTCAAATAACCTTAATTTCTTCAGTAAATGCAAACCCAATTTTGTGTGAACTTTTCCCCTTGAAGCCCAACATGGACGCAGGGCGACAGACAGCTGTTCATATTATTTGAGTCTTTAGTTAATCCTCACCGATTTGTCCCTTTATTTGTTTGCATTTTCCAAAATATACAAATATTTCTCTAGCACTAGGACAATAGTCACTCTGCCTGCTGCCACCGAAAGCGTCCTTACTAGTTATTTCATTTCTTTGATGGTAGCTTGTTTATCTTTTCCAAAGCGACCTATGTCACCCAACCCTAAGTAATATAAGATAGGCAGGTAAGACTGTACTTAAGCTCAACAAAAATGTTCCAGAGAAATATGGCACTTTGGGCTCTAAATGCTCCAGCAGGTACAAAAAAACCTGCAACTCTTTAACAATAATTCTCATTTGAGTAGGTCACAGATAATAAAGGAACTCTTGTTTCTGGGAAATTAAAAAAATGACATGGGGTAAAATATTTATTTGCTCTCTACATTGGTCAAATGACTGGTGGATATTAAAAACCTGTAAACAGACAGATGCAACCAATTCTCTTTCATTAACAAATTGCAATTTCACAATAAAGTAAATGCATTAAAAAATGTCAACTTCCGAGATGCTGAAATTGTCAGAGCTTGAGCATGCTTTAATTGTTAAAAAAAAAAAAAAGATATTCTAATGAGTTCAGGGAAAAAAAGTTTTCTTGTAAATCTTTAAAAAAAAATCAGGTAGCCAAAGCGCCGTTAACCATGTGTACATTTCTGTACGCTTGCCCTTAGACTAAATCTACCCAGTCACCAGCTTTGTTTTCCTTCTAAGTACAAGCCGTATCAGCAGCACATTTTAAAGTTAATTTGAAGCAGGGTCTATATGGCCATCAGCAAAAATGTTATAAGCTTATTATTTAATAGTGATTCTTGGGTAAGGCCATCATCCCCTTCCTAAATCCAAATATAAAAGCTGAAATCGTATTTGTTAAAACTGTCATTTTGAATTTGTGGCCCAGATTGTTTTCCTGAGCGTGCTGGGTAAGAGGCTCGAATGCTCCCAGCTGCAGGCACCCGGAGCCCAGCAAAGCCGCGGAGGCCAGAGGCTGAGCAGCTCCCAGCCTCAAACTGCCTGCCTGCTTCCCCCAAACAGAGCTCCAGCCCAGCGCACTCACGGCTTTTCCACATTGTAAAATCATTTGATTTATTTGTTTGGTTTGGTTTGGTTTTTAGAAGCACTGCAGAAATTATTTCCTACTGGCAGAGGGGGCACTTTATGTTACACTACATTAGTTTCACATCATTAGTTTAGGGTCCTCAAACTTAAAATTGTAAAGTATATGGGAGGCTTCTAGAGACCTCAGTTCTGACCAGAGCAGAACCAATTAAACCTGATGGATTCCTTTCACTGTCTGTAACGTGTGAGGCCGTACAGAACAAAGTGCTGTGGCACTGCTGAAGGGGTTCCCTCTGTTAGCTTTGGAATTTGGTGGTAGGAAATGTTGCAAGTTATTTATAAAAGAGGCAAAATTCCTCTGGTACTGTTCCGGTTCTTTAAAAAAAAAAAAACAACAAAAAAACCCCCCACGTAATTTTATCGTCACCGCTTGCAACAAGAAGCCAAGAAGGGGTCCCGATGACAGCCACGGACCCCACCTCTCTGGGCTGTCTCTCTCACCTCCGTCAGCCACTTCCCGCTCCGCACTCTCGCTCTTGACAAGGAATTCTAAACCCACCCGCGGATAGAGGACTAGCCCGGATCAGACCGGCCCCGCTGGCCAGTGGTTCACCCGGCAGGGTGCCAGGCTGGGGGAACCTGCACCCTGGGGCCGGGACTCTCGGGCCCCAGTCTCCCCCGCAAGGGTCCGCACCCAGCGAAGTTCTCCATCCCCTGGCCCGTGGAGGTGAAGCTCGCGGAGCGGGGAGAAGCTAGGCTGGAGCCTGGAGCGCCTTCTCCACGGCCGGGCGGAAGGACAGCCCCCGCTGGCTGGCCGGCTCCCCCGCGCCCATTCCGCTCTCTCCTCCCTGGCCCTTCCTTCCCGGGGGTCCCTTCCTTCCCGGAGCTTTGAGGGAGACCTCGGCCCTTGCCAGTTGCGGTGGCGGAAGAGCCGCTGCGTCAGGTGAGCGCTCCCCGAAGCTCTCCTGCCACCTGTTGGCCGCCTGCGGTGGTGACGCCGGGAGAAGCCGCGCTGGTGGGACCGGCCAGGCCTGGCTTCCGAACCCTGGCGAGGATTGTTAACGACTTCTCCGCGGCCGCCGCTGTGTGCTGGCCAGGGCCCACAAACTGGGCCACGGCCCGCAGACTGGCTGGCCTGCAGGTCTCTCCTGAAGCCCCCTCGGCTGGTCCTCCGAGGTTTCCTGGGCCCCCATCTGTGGCCCCTGAGCTAAGCCGCCCAGGAATATGATGCACAGGATATGATGCACTCCTGTCCTGGCATCCTTTCTCTCTGGCAGCCACGGAGCCGATGGCAGGTCCAGGGTGTCCCTGGGGCCTCGTAGGGCAGTGGTGTCTGAGAAGGGTTTGGTGTGTGCCCTGTAAGAGCCACAGTGGGAGGTGTGGGCTGTGACCCCCTGACGTGGTGCCCGTGCTCTGCCCTGAGACAGTGGGACGAAGGGAGGACAAGTCAGCCTGTCCAGCTTGGGCATTCTTATACTGGGCAGAGGGGTCTGCCCAGGCCCATCTCATTCCTTCCTTCCTGGGAAATCCCCAGAGTGTGGATGGATAGCACAGGGAACTTCAGCCAAAGGTCAGAAAGAAAGGTGTAGGAGCTTCAGTATATAGGAGACTGCGGCACTGGAAGCTGGGGACCTTTTACTATTCAATAAACCATGCCCAGGATTGTAGATGAGCAGTTCTGGGGAAGTCAGGAACCCGCAACAAACAGGCTGGAGTTCACTCATGTGAATAGCTGTCGAAGGTACTTTTAACAAAGTGGGGCTCTAATTTGGTGGGTGTTTGGGGCACTCTGATACAAAGCGCTGCAGCAGTCACATTTCCAAACCATCTGGGGGCAGAACTAAACCTCTTTCCAGGGACCGATGGGCCAAGTCTTAGGAATGGATTTGGCCTGACTTTGAGAATGTCACATGTGCTTTAGTAACACTAAAGGGCAGAGGACAAGTGTGGTGAGGATGCTCTCATTCCTATTTTAGGGAGCGGGGTCTGGAGCCGTGGCTTCTCCAGGCCCCACTGGAGGGGGCCAGGAGCCACCGCTGCTGTTGGCCCACGCCCCGTGCTCAGCCCAATTTGAGACACAGTGTATTTTCATTCCATGGTAGTTTTATACACAAAGACTACATCCTTCTCAGCCCCGCCCGCTTGCGGCTCACATGGGCCTTAAACACAGAGTCTGAGGTCCAGTGGGACATCTGTACTTAATGCCGCTCAGCAGTGTGACTGGACCGCTGACACCCAAGTTTTACCAACAGAGGTCAAGCTGTTTTCATGGGGGCTGACTTACGTGTAATGTTAACACATATCCTCTAGCCTGTTGCGGGGGAGGTGATTGACCCTGAAAACCAAGGGTGCCTGTTTTTAGGTGACGGTCTCCTGGCTTATCTAAGGCCAAAGTGTTCTTCCCTCCTGGTGTCTGAAATCGTAGGGAAGGGACTCTGGTATCTGGCCAAGTGGCTGCTGAGAAACCAGCCCTAAAAAGTTATTTTCTTAGTCCAGGGGTTCATGTGAGCCCTGGACTAGGGGTGATTTAGTTGTGTTTTTTCAGCTCGCCTCATAATTTAATGGAGGAGAAATTCTTTGGCATGCTTCCTCCTGGGTACCGACTGCCTTTGGAGGAGTTCTGTATGGAGCAGTGCCCCATGGTCAGAAATCTCATTATGCCAGGTCTGGGCTTTCGGTAACCACCGAGTGACCGGCTCTAGTCTCTTAGGTTAGCCAACAGAGGAGGGAGAGAAATCCTCCGTAGCCGGGACTTGCATTTTTATGGAGAAGGAGGAATGTTAGAGAAGTCAGTAAACTTGCAGCGCTCACAACCCTGTGCACATGAAGAGCAGAAAAAAAACCCCAGCCCACTGGTTGTTTACTCCCAGCACAAAAGCGGCCTCCCTCCCACCCCTTCCCTTTTATTTTCAGCCTCTCTGACAGAAAGATATTACTGACTGAATACGCCTTCCCACAATACTGTCCATCACACCGGCATGAGGGACCAAAGGTAAGTAAACTTTAAACACACCTGGCACCACTAACTCCCGCCTTTGTGCTTAGAATGGCCACCAGCCAGCTAGCCGCCCTGTCCCCCATTCATATGTCCTCCAGAGGAATTCTGACAGGGGGACTTCTGAGGCCACTCAGTATTCTCAAATCAGGCCATTCAGATGCCTTGAGAGAGTTGGGGCAACCTCTCTGTTGAGCAGCCTGGTCAGGCCCCTAGAGCTCGAAGCTGCTCAGCCTAGAGAATTCCCTGGGGGCAGGAAGCCTCCAGGAGGGACTCTTGACTCCCAGCTGGGCTTCAGCAGACAGGGCAGGGTTTCCGAGGCCCCCGTGAGCCCACCCTGTGGCTGCTAACTGTGCTGATGCGCTTCCTCACGCCCTCTGTGGGCACCTTGGGAGAGGGGGCAGTTGGCTGAGCTGTGGGCCGTCTTCTCAGTTTTATGCATCTGGAGTCGTGAGCTCTTCCCCAGAGTTGTGGCAAATGAAGAGAGAAGGGGTGGTTGCTCTTCCTCATTCCAGGTTGCTTGAAGGTGCACCTCAGCGTTTGGTCTTTCCCATAACTGGCTGCGAAATGGCCTTTTCTGAAATAGGGGAAAGAAGACTCCTGAGTCATTCTGCGTCTCCTCTCCAGCTGCTCCAAGTTCATGTGTTGTAACTTTCTCTCTCCTGCGATAACGTATTCCAGACGCCAGTGAGAAGAAAATGTGGAGAAGTCCTGTAAGTGGGAACATTCTCGTTTAGGAGATGGAGTGGTTCGGGAGGCCCGTGATGCTTTCCAGGGTCACAAAGCTGAGAGATGAGGAAGCCATTGTGGCACTTGAATTTGGGGCTGATAAGACTGGTTTTTGTAAAATGCTGGAATCCTCTGTGATTGTCATTTGGGAAACTCATTGTAGTGTTTATCTGTTGAGGAAGGAGGAGACAAAATGGACTTCTAGAGCATCAATTGGCCACTTAATCCCTGGGTGAGGCTAGGCTCTGCATCAGTCCATCTTAGAGATGAAATCCAGCCCTGCTTTTCTTCTCCATGGAATCTCGGCCTAGGCAGCTGAGTGTTGCTCTGACTCCAACAAGCAAACCTCTGCAAACAAAGCCCTAATTATTAGCTTGAAAACAAATTGGGTCTTGACCTCAAATGAGATTGAAGAGCATAGAAACAGATACTTTGGGAAGAGCTGAAGGAGATGACAGAGCTGTCGTCATGGCCATCGGACCCTCTCCCTGAATTTCCATGCCCCTCTCCTCTTCCCCTCAGTCCTGCTTGGCCCGCTGGCATCGCTCAATATTCACCTGGCTGTGGGGGTGAACACTGTGAAATTCCAAAATTGCTTCAGTGACTTGAAGACATGGAAAATACAGACTGCTTGCTTGGTCCCTCCTGTTGTCAGCCGATACAATCTCATGGAACCATGGGTGTACCAATGCCAGCTATGATCCAGCTAAATACATTTCTGAGAACATGAAATCTCCCATTTGCCTTTGTTTTTGGCACAAAAGCCATTCTCACTCTGAGTATGTCAGACACAATCATCTAGAATAAATCTCCAGAAAGAAAAGTACATCTGAACATGAGTGACCACTCCTTTCCCATTCTCCCCCACTCTCCCCATCTTCACATTGAATGAGTCACTGGGATGTCTGCTGACGGCTTCTGTTGGCTGGCCAGACTGGGAGGAGGATCAAGGGACTTCTTGCAAGGTCTGAGGTTGTGGCCAGGGCTACACAAGGTCACTGAATTCCAGTGGGGGCAGAGTTTGGGCTTTTGCTCATTGGGCCACATCCATTCTGATTGAAGGTCAGAACAAGGCCACACCCTTTCCTTCTCGGCCTCCACTATGCCCGAGGCTTGTCTAGAAGGTGCTCTGGGGTTTTGGCATCCACTGTAGAAGTCTAGGAATACTTAAGTCAGCTATTCTCTGTGCGGTTTAACGTCTGGGGGTCTGGGGCTGCCCCCTCTAGGCCCTGGATGACTGTCCTCCTCAGAACACCTGCTTACTGTTTGTGAAGATGATGCAGCCATGGGGAAGAATACGTGGGAGCATTTGCCAAATCAAGATTTTCAGAAGCTCCTTTCAGAACCGGAAGATGTTTGCCATTGAGTAGTTAATCCTCACCCTGCATCTACAGTCCCTGTTCCAGATTTTTCCTTTCAGTACAGGATCCAGTCCACAGACTGCAGTTAGCTGTCAGTCTCTGTTGAATGACTTTCAGTCTGGAGCCATTCTTCAGCCTTTCTTTATCTTTAGATCCAGGTTTGAGAGCTCTGGCTGGGCTGCCACATCCTTTCAAGGTTTCAGAGCAGGAGGCACGTGCTGCCTTCCTGTTCCATGTTGGTGTCCCACATTGGTCACTTAGATTTCCTGGTCAAGGTGTCTGGCTGCTACACTGTATTCAGCTGACCCTTGAACAACATGGGAGTTGGGGCACCGACTCTCTGCACAGCAAAAATCTGCATATAACTTATGGGTGGCCCTCTGTATGTGCAGTTCCTCTGTATCTGCAGTTTCCCATCTTTGAAGCCAACCCACCACAGATCTTGGAGTACTGTAGTGTTTATTATTGAAAAAAAGTGTACGCATCAGTAGACCTGTGCAATTCAGACTCATTTTGCTCAAGGGTCAGCGGAGGTTACTCTTCCCCCTTGTAACTGATAAGTGGTCCGTGAAGAGCCACTATGACATGGGAATAGCCTGCTCTTCATCACATCCCCTCCACCCTGAATCTCGCATCCTTCAATGATTCTTTTCCCAACCAGTCTTTACTATGTTGGTCATAAAATGGTGATTTTTCCATTTCCCATACTTTCTCCACGTTTATCAGTTGGCATTCTCCTTTGATTAAGAGCCTACCATCCCTGCCTCGCACCGTCCCTCTCTTCTTCCTTCCTCCCTTTTCGCTTCCCCTCTCTCCTGCTTCTGCTTCTCCTGCTGCTTCCTCATCATAGTCTCATAGATGCCTATTTTATTCTATGGGTTATAAGCTCTTCTATTGTTATGTATTTGGATCATGAAATTGTGCCAGATGTAGCCAGTGAAATTGCCTTGCAGCTTGGCTCCTGCATCCTTTTGACATGCTACCATCAATATTTTGAGTTTGCTTTTTGGCATTAACAAGATATTTCAGGCTTGTCTTGTACCTTCCTTGCCACTGCCCTTGTCTTAGAATTAGGTGTTTTGCTCAAGAACCTTGGTTCCTTTTAATGGAGAATGGTATTTAAATATAGTAGGTACACCCAGTGCTACTGGAGTGTCATTGCTTCTAGACCCCTTTAAATATAGGAGATACATATTGTATACATATATACAAACACACACTTACACATCCTAGCCTTGAAATAAATAATGCACATTTGAAGTTATATATGTATATATGTCCTGGAGAGGAAAATAGCAACCCACTCCAGTATTCTTGCCTAGAGAATTCCATGGACAGAGGAGCCTGGTGGGCTACAGTCCATGGGGTCACAGAGTTGGACACGACTGAGTGACTAACATGCATATGTGTATACATATTTAAAATTTTATATACATACATACATATATATGTATACAACCTTCCCATGATTCCATGATGTTACTCTCAAACCATCCCATCCCTGCACATTCTTCATTACCTCCCCTCGTACCATCCCACATTTGAATCTCCCAACTTCTACAGTGAGAACCCTGGCTCCCAAACACCACCACACATTTACTGATATCCTCAATCCTACAATATACATAAAATAGTTTCAAAAATTCTGTACCCATATTAACTTTAAAAAAAAAAAAGCCTAATTAAAAGTGTTCACATGGGAATTACCTGGTTGCCTAGTGATTAGGATTTGGTGTTTTCACTGAGGAGTCCCAGGTTGATCCCTGGTAGGGGAACCATTCTGCATGTCATGCAAAGCACAGCCAAAATCCAAAAGAGAGAGAAAGAAAAAGAGTTCATAATTAGTTGGCAGTTCTTTTCCCCTTTAGACTGAGGGTATTTAGTCAACATTTGTTGTTGGTTAGTCACTAAGTTGTGTCTGACTCTTTTGTGACCCCATGGACTGTAGCCCACTAGGCTCTTCTGTCCATGGGGTTTTCCAGGCAAGGATACTGGAGTGGGTTGCCATCTCCTCCAGAAGATCTTCCATACTTTTTTTTTAAAAAAAAAACAACATTATTTGTATTACCTCTTATTTCCTTTCCTTTTCAATTTAGGTTTATCAGATGATATCTCATGATTAGATTTATCAGAAGTGTGTTTGGTTCATTTACTTTCAATTTTAGCTTTTTGTCCCCCCCATCCTTATTGATCGAATTTTATTTCTGATTATGTACAATATTAATATGCTTCCAAAAGTCCAAACTATAATAAAAGTATGCTCAGAGAAGTGTTACACCTTTCCATAGCCCTTTCATTCAGTCTCCTCCCCATTCCCTCAGATGTAACCAATTTTATTTTTTTCTATTTTTTTCTTCCTGTGTGTCTCTTTTTGCAAAAACCAGCAAACATATATGTTTTCCTATTTCTTTTTTCTTACACAAAATGTTGTATACTGTGTTTTTCATTTAGCAATATATTCTAGAAACCACTGTATATCAGTTAATAAAAGTCTTTCCCATTCTATTTTACAGCAGCATATTTTTACTCCATTTTATTTTCAATCAAGTTTATTTTCTATCAGTTTCCTATGTTTGAGAATTTAGATAGTTTGCAGTATTATGCTGCAATGAATAAACTTTATGTGTATATATGCTCATTGTGAGAGATGTATCTTTAGGGAGATTTCTTAGAAGTAGAATTGTTGAATCAAGATAGAGACATAGTTTTGTTACTGTTCCAGATTCCCCTTCATAGGAGTTGTACAAAAGGCATTCCCATCAGCAGTGTGTGACAGTACTTATTTCCTTACACCTTTGCCAACAGAACATATGTCAAGATTTTGAATTTTTGCCATTCTTATAGATGAAAAATAGTATCTCAGTGAAGTCTTGTTTTATATTTCTCTGACTGTGCGTGAATTTGAACATCTTTCATAGGTTTTAGAAGCATTCTTAAGTCCTTCTGGTGAATTGTCTGTTTATGTCTTTGCTATTTTCCTATATGATTTTTAAGAGTCTTTTAAAGGTATGTTAGCGTTTCATCAGTGATGTACATTGCAAATATTTCCTCCTAGTTTGATGTTTGTCTTGGTTTTACTTGTGGTGTTTTATTGCCATGCAAAAACTTAAAAAATATTTTGCAGTCAAAATTATCATTTTTTAAAGTTGATTTCATCTGAATTTTGATTCATAATTCTTATAGAAGAATTCACTCATGTTTTCTTTTAATAGTAGTGTAATTTAGTTTTTCACACTTAGATCGCTGGTCAGTTTGGAATTTATTTTTGCATGTAATGTGAAGAATGGATCAAATTTAATTTTTTTCCAAGTGTCTATCCATTGTATCAGTACCCTTTATTACAAATTATGTCTCTGCCTAAGTGACTTGACATATCACCTTTATCACGGGTTAGATTTCCACAGGTAGTTTGGTTTATTTCTGAACTTTGTAGTCCATTCCATTCATCTGTCTTTTTATGTGCCAGCACCACACAGTTTTAATTCTGTCTATGCCTGCATGCTCAGTCATGTCCAAAACACAAAAATAGTCACGTCTGCTTTTGTGTTTTATAGGAGTGCGCTATAGTTTTCTTCATAAGGGTTTTGAATATTTTTTGTTAGATTTATTCTTAAGTACTTTATCTTTTCTACTGCTGTTTTAAATGGGAGGTTTCTCTTACATTACATCTTCTGATTATTTATTATTTGTGCTTATGAAGGCTATTGACTCTTGTTGTTTATTTCATATCCTGCTGCCTTGATGAATTATTTTATTGTTTGAGTTAGTTCAGTGGTTCTCACTACATGGTCTCAGTACATTTGAGGTTCCTGAGACACATTTAGTGGATTCACAAGGTCCGAATACTTTTTGTAATAATAAGACACAATTTGCCCATTATTAGTAACTTTATTCTCTCTTGAGTGTACAGTGGAGTTTTCCAGAGGCTACATAATGTGTGAAATAATAACAGACTGAATGCAGAAGCAGATACGAAAATCCAGCTGTTTTCTGTTAAACTCCACAACAAAGAGATGTGCAAAAATGTGAAACAATGTCATTCTCACTGGAAGTTTTTGTATTTTCAAAAAATGCTATTTATATTAGCATGTTTATTAGCATTACTTTGAAATTAATATTTAGAATTTTCTCAGTTTTAATGTCTAATTCAGTAAATATCAGTGGACATAACCCATGCAAATAAAAGCTCTTCGAGGTCCTTATTAATTTTTAAGGATGTAAAGGAGTTATAATATCAACATTTTTGAGAAATTCTGAGTTTTATCATTTCTTCTCTAGGTTTTCTGGGTATGCTATCATGTCCTGTGCTGTACAGTTCACTTTCTTTATTCTGTTACAACTCTCAAGACTCCTTCTATTTCCTCTTGCCTAATTGCACTAGCTAATCCTTCCAGTACAATGTTAGTAGTGGGAAAGTGGGCATCTGTGTCTTCTGTCTTCAGTGGAAATGTCTCTGGTGTTTCCCCATTAAGTAATAGGCTGAGAGGCTGCCTTAGGACTGTGTATTATGTTATGTTTACAAAGTTCCTTTCTCTGTGTTTGGTGTTTTTCCATTATTGTCTAAAAGTTTCTTTGGTATTTAGAAGGGTTTTTATTTTTGATCAAGTTATTGCCTTTGTGTTTGCACCTTCTACACTGCCCTTAAACTGTCCTATTCTTAAACTTTTACCATGTGGACTATCAGTTTTAAATGATATAATTTACTCCCATTTATTACCTAAACAGCAATCAGTGGTCATATTTTACTTTCCCCTTTGTTCCCATTTTTAAAGTTATGTTTTTTCTGCTTGGTCAGAACACATAATGTTTATATATTCTTCTGTTACCATGACCCCAGCTTTTCCTTCTTTTATTCTTAGCTCTGTAATTAAATATATCAAGTGATCACCATTGATCCTTTTGCTGAAGCCTCCCCTCCCCCATTATCTTTTGGTTGGGTAAAACTTGGTTTGATAAGGCTAAATATAAAATCTGTGGCTTGTACTCTCTTTCCTGTGTGTTGAAAATGCTGTTTCATTCTAGCCTTGTTGTTTATGTGGCTCAAAGAAAGTTTTATGCCAGACTAAATTTCTCACCTGCATTAAGAATTTGATGCTTTTGCATAGAGGTTGAGGATGTTTTTCTTTGTCATTAAAAATCAAGTCATTTTACTAGGAAACATCTCAAAACTGATCATTCTAGATTAGTTTTCTAAGCACACAGGGGGCCTCTTCAATATGTTGATTTAAGATTTTTATTTTTGGAAAGTTTTCTTGGATTATATTTCTAAATACTATTTCTGTTGCATTATTTTATTTTTCTTTATGGACTCCAATCGTATGTATATTGGACCTTCTTTGCCCATGTTCCATTTTAAATATTTTCTCTCTGATATTTTTTCTTTTTAAACTAATTTCCTCTGTTTTTTTTTGTTTTACTGCCTTTCTTCATTGGCCCTTATTAACTGTTTTATTTAGACTTATTCTTTCTTTGGTACCTTGTAATTTATTCTTTATTTTTGAGATAGTTTTGAATTTTTCTTTAATTTTTTTTCCTGAATTTTATCAACTTTTGCCACATTTCTTCCTGATTTGAGGAGTCCTCTTCTATTCTTAGGTTTTATATGTGAATCTAGCTTTTTATATCTTCAAATTTAAAATAGTATTTAATTAGCTTGAAATGTTACTTTATAGCTTTCTTCTTCTGTTTCATGGTTGTTTTTTATTTTGGTGGGGAGGGTGAGAAAATTTTTAGCTCAACTGTTTGATTTATATTTTATCTTTTCTTCTTATAGTAGCTGATATGGCCTTAGTCTGATATTTTTCCCCCCTCCCACTCCTAGGCATTTTTGAGGAGAGAGTTCCTATTT